TTGAATGTCAGTTATGGTCTCTTTGGGATATATTCCCAGTAGTGGAATTGCTGGGTCAAATGGTATCTCTATTTGCAACTTTTTGAGAAAGTGCCATACCGCCTTCCACAGTGGTTGCCACCAACAGTGAATAAGGGTTCCAGTTTCTCCACAACCTCGCCAGCATTTGTTGCTTGCTGTGCTGTTAAATTTTGCTATTCTGACTGGGGTGAGATGATATCTCATAGTTGTTTTGAGCATTTTTTGAGCATTGATACTTTTAAAAAACATTTTTATTGTGATTTAAATATTTTTTTCTGACATACCCTATTATACTGTTCTGGCCATTTTATAACAATCTTCAGCAAGACTTTACTTGCATGTTACATTAATGATACTGTTAAATAATTTCCACACTCCGTTGGGTTGCCTTTTTTTTTTTTTAAAAAAAAAAAAAAGGGAACAAATAGGAATATTTTCCAGTTAATTCTCCAAAAGCTGTCTTCTAAATTTCTTGGCATAGACTGGTAAGCATGTCCAAGGCTGCGTGTATTTACTGAAATATGTTAGTTGGTATCCCATCAATTCCTGGAACCTTATTTTTTGCCAGTGCCTTCAGTGCAACTTCTTCCTTTATTAATTACCATTGTGACTTTTTAATTATCACATGCTGCTTCCTGAAATGGTTTAATATTCTTTTTGGTACAGTTACTACTCTTTTCCACCTTTTTTAAAAAAATAGAAGATTTTTCTTTTATAGTGGTTTACTTACAAAATTCGTATACATTGTTGGTTGTTTTTTTTAAATTTTATTAGTTTTAATGTGTATACATTGTTTTTCACACCAGATCTTTCCCATTTCTTTCACCCACCTGTCCCTCCACCCAGGAAATTGTGCGGCCCTGTAACTGTGCCCCCGATCCATCCACTCCTGTGCTCCCACCATCTCTTCCTTGGCTCCTCATACATGTTTTACTAGTTATCTGTTTCTACAATAACGGACTTATGTAGTATTTGTCCTTATGGGACTGAGTTAGTTCATGCAGCATAATGCTCTCCAGTCCCTCCCAAGTTAGGTAATTACAAAATCATTGTTCTGTGTGCTGTGTAGTATTCCATTGTCTTTCAACTTTCTTTTAATGCCTCTTGCATCATTCAAGAGTTCCTTCAGTATTACAACCTGAGACTTTGTTTTTGTTGTTGTTTATGTGCCGTCGAATCGCTTGCGACTCATAGTGACCCTATGTACAACAGCCCTCAACTCTGCTCTGTCCTGTGCCAATCCCACTGTCTCTGACACTCCCATCACTATTACCCCAGTCACTGAATCAGTCCACTTCATAGAGGGCCTTCCCCTCCTGTACTGTCCCTCCACCCTACCAAGCATGATGTCCCTCTCCAAGGACCAGTTCTTCCTTACAACACGTCCAAAGTATGTTAGACGGAGCCTCAGAATCCTTGCCTCCAAAGAGCCGCCCAGTTTAACCCTTTCCATGATGAATCTGTTTGTTTTCCCAGCAGTCCATGGTACCCTCAATACTTTTCTCCAGCACCACAGCTCAAAGGCATCAATTCTCCTTTTATCCTCCTTGGTCATTGTACAACTCTCTGATGCATAACAAGTGATCGCAAAGACCATAGCCTGTATCAGATGCACCTTAGCCTCCAGAGAGACACCATTGCTCTTCAGTACTTTGGAGAGGTCACTAACAGCAGACTTTCCCATGGCAATGTGCCTTTTAATTTCCTGGCTACTGGTGCCAAGCATGTTGACTGTGGAGCCAAGCAAACTGAAGCTGTGAACAATCTCAATCTCTTCACCATCCATCCTGATGCTGCCAATTGGTCCAGTGGTGTGAATCTTTGTCTTCTTGACATTGAGCCTCAATCCATATTGGAGGCTGCAGTCCTTGATCCTCAGCAGCAAGTGCTTCAGGTCCTCCTCAGTTTCAGCAAGCAGGGTTGTGTCATCTGCATATCGCAGACTGTTGATAGGTCTTCCACCAATCTTGACCCCACATTTCTCCTCATAGAGCCCAGCCTCCCGGATAATCTGTTCTGCATATAGGTTGAAAAGGTATGGAGATAGGACACATCCCTGGCATATGCCCTTCCCAATTCTGAACCATGCGGTGTTCCCTTGCTTTTTTCTGATGACTGCCTCCTGGTCCAAGTATAGGTTTCACATTAGCACGATCAAGTGTTCTGGGATTCCCATTCTTCTCAGAGTCAGCCACAGTTTGTTATGATCCTCACAGTCAAACACTTTTGCATAGTCAATGAAACACAGATACGCATTCCTCCGGTATTCCCTGCTATTAGCTAAGATCCATCTAACATCAGCTACAATATTCCTAGTACCATGGCCCTTCTAAACCCAGACTGGATTTCTGGCAGTTCTCTGCTAATGTGCTGTTTCAGTCATTTTTTGATAATCTTCAGTAGAATCTTGCTTGCACGTGAAATCAATGAGATTGTTCTATAATTTCTGCACTCTGTTGGGTCATCTTTCTTTGGGATGGGAACGGAACAAGTGGTTGTTCTCCAGATTTCTTGGCACAACTTGTTGAGCATGTCTTGGGCCATTTTGATTTTTCCAGCCCCAACTCTTTGTACTTTTTTTTTTTTAATGAAAATATTTTATTGGAAGTTGGTACTTTTTCTGTTAAAATTTCAAATCTTCATAAACAAATCATCACTGTACTTCTAGAATAGTGTAAGTTAGGAGTTCAAGATTGTTATTTAACATCTTGTGTCACATAGCACAGAATGTATAAATTATTTTAATACTTTGCTTTTTCTTCTTGAGCAACCCTTTGGAATCTTCTGTTCATCTCTTTGTTTCTTCCATTTATTTTGGCCTCTCTGTGTTCTGGTGCAATTTTCAGAGTCTCTTCTGACGTCTGTTTTCATTTTTACCTTCCTGTCTTTGTAGTGACCTTTTGCTTTCTTCAGGGAAGAAATCTTTGATGTTATATATCCTACAGCTCAACTGGTCTTCAGTCATTAGGATTCAGTGTATGAAATCTGTTCTTTTTTTTTAAATCTGTTCTTGAAATGGTTTTTAAATTCAGTTGAAATAGACTGAAGGTTGTGTTTTGATTCTTATGAACTTGTTTTCTTCAACTTCATTTTCAAATTCCAGCCAGAATTTCAAGCTGGATTCCGAAGAGACTAGTAGGAGAAATATCATTGCTGATGTCAGATCAATCCTGTGTGAAGCAGAGAATATCAGAAAGATACTTACTTTTGTTTTATTGACATATAGGCCTTTGACTTTGGATCATTACAAATTTTGGATAATGTTGAGAAGAATATGAATCCCAAAACACATAATTGTGCTCATGTGAAACCTATATACAGACCAAAAAGCAGTTTTTGAAATAGAACAAGGGAACATTGCATAGTTTAACACCAGGAAAGTTGTGTGTCGTGGCTGTATCCTTTCTCTATACCTGTACAGCCTGTATTGTGAGCACATCATTCAAGAAGCTGGAGTATATAATGAAGAGTGTGGTGTCAAAATTGGTAGAGGAATCACCATCAGGTTGCATTATGTGGGTGATACAACCTTGCTTGCAAAAATGCAGAAGACTGATACACTTACTAAAGATCAAAGACTATAGCATCACTGTGGATTGCATCAGAATATCAGAAAACAAAACTCCTTACTCAATAGGCAACATCATGAAAGATGGAGAAAAGAGTAAAGTTGTCAGTAATTTAATTTTACTGAAATCCACAATCTCATTTTATTTGCGTCCACAGTTTATTTGAATCCACAAACTTGATCTCAACACTCACGGCAACAGCAGTCAAGTAATCAGAAGATCTTTAAAGTGATAAAGAGCAAGAACTTCACTTTAGAGACTAAAGTACGCCAGATCCAAGCCATAGCCTTTTCATTTGCTTCCTATGCATCTGAAGATTAGACAGTGAATAAGTTTGACCAAAGAAGAAATGATACCTTTGAACTGTGGTGTTGGTGAAGAGTATTGAATATCCCATGGATTGCCAAGAGAGCAAATAAGTCTGTTTTGGAAGAAGTGTAAGCAGAGTGCTCCTTAGAGGCAAGAGTGGTGAAACTTCATCTTTCATGATTTTTCTGTCTGTCTGTCTGTCTATCTATCTATCTACCTGGAAAGGTAGAAGATCAAAGAAAGGGAAGACTTGCAACAAGATGACTTGATAAAGCACTTTTAAAAATGGGCTCTAACCTGACAGATGTTGTAAGGATGGCACAAGATAGGGCATGATTCAGATCTGTAGTTCATAGAGTAGTGACCTGAGGAATGATGTGAAGTTGACTTGATGGCACAGCATTAATTAACAATATTTCTGTGTATGATGCGTATTTTCATTCTTTGTTCTTTGCTATTCTTTTTGCCTTTTGATCTTTATTGGGCAAATGACTTCCTTTTAATTTTTGAATAAAAAATTGTTGATTGTTCTAAGTGGTATTACTGTCTGCCTTTAATGTTTGAGTAATAAACTATAAGGATGATTTCAGTTCTGGCTCAAAGGGTGTATAAGGGATTCCATCAGTGTTTATCATGCCAGCAAGTGTATTGTATTGTGTGATTTTCAGTTTTATTCCATATTTTTTCCCTGTCCATTTTTCCTTTCAATCTATTGTCATTCGTTTCAGAACATTCTGGAGTGGTAACTGAGTATCACCTACGTCTTCTGGTCTCAGGGTTCTGGAGACAGGGGTGTGCATAGTCCATTGGTCTGTTGGTCTTATTGTTTCCTCTGTGTACCATTGATTTTCTTCACTCTTTGTTCTGACCAGGTAGAGGCCAGTGGCTGCATCTTAGACGACTGCCCATCAGCTTTTAAGGCTACTTACCAAAGTAACATGAAGAATGTTGTCTTTGTCTTGTCTTTGTGGAGTATGTTGTGCCAGTTGACTTCAAATACTTTAGTCCTGGGGCTCCAAGTCAGCAACTTATTCCCTTAGCCTATTTGGCTATGATTAAGAAGTTTAGTTAATTTCCCTTTGTTACTGTACTATATATACACACACGTATATATAGATATATTTAGACACATACAGATGTCTGTGTTGAAATACTTTCTGCCTGACTTATGTATAGTTACAGGTGTTGTCCCTTTTGCTTACTTATATCTCTTCATTTTACTTGCTTATGTTGCCCAGTGGGTAAGGAATTATACTGCCAATTTAAAGTACATTGCCAATGTAAAGTATGAATCCACCGGCTGCTCCTTTGGAGAAAGATGGATAATCCTGTAGAATTAATAGCCTCTGAAAACCAGCTATGAGTTGGTTTTTGCTGTGTGGCAGTTAATTGAGTTGATATACCCACTTGTAGATTAAAGCTATTATTACTGGAATACTGAATTATATTTGTCATGGTATTTACTTAGGTTGTAACTCTTGTGCACCTCTGTGTGCCTTACTTATATAATATTGTGCTGATTACTCACCCCTTTGTTATGTTGCCTTTCTTGTCATCTATATAGTATACTTAAACGGTATTTGTCCCTTCAGAATTATTTCACTGTGCATAATGCCCTCTCAGGTCTAATTAGGTGTTTTGTAGATTGTTCATTACTCTTTCACATAGTATGATTTTCCATTGTATATATGTATCATAGATTACTTATTCATTCATCCATTGATGGGCACTTAGGTTGTTTCTTTATCCTTGCTATTGTGAATAATGCTGCAGCAAACCTGTGTATGCATATATCTCTGTCACATCTCACAATTCTTTAGAATGTATAACTAGTAGTAGCTGGATCAGATAATATTTATAACTTCTTAAGGATGCACCATACTGTTTTTCAGGTAGCTCTGGGGTTTTGTGGTAAAGAATTGTGCTGCAATTTGAATTCCCCACCCTCAGCTGCTCCCCAGGAGAAAGAAAGATGGGTAGTCTCCTCTAATGTGTTTAACTGCCTCTGAAAAGCCATAGGAGGGTCAGCTATGAGTTGATTCCTGCTCGATGGTACACAGCAGTGTATTGTTTTCCACATTACACCATTTTAGTCCCATCAACAGTGTATCAGAGTTCCAATCTCTCTACACTCTTTCCAACTTTTTGTGAATAGGGTAAGATCCCATAGTTAACATCAGTACTTCATTTTATGTCCAGATTCCAGTTTTGCCAATGAAAGTAATTATTTAGTTTTTCTTTTAATACTGTTCTCTGCAGTGAGAGTGCTCCTTGGAGGCAAGGCAAGAAGGACGAAATTTTATCTCATATACTTTATTTCATATACTTTGAGCATGTTGCCTAGGGGTGGCTATTCCTATGGGGCATCATACTTGGAAAGGTAGAGGATCATCGAAAGAGATGAAGACCCCTCAATGACATAGATTAATACAGTTATTGTAGCAGTAGGCTCAAGTGTGTCAGAGATTGTGAGGATAGCTCAGGACAGATTTAACGGTATCTAACACCAGTGGTATTCATTGTAAGGATCATTTAATTATGTTTAGTTACCATTTCTAATGACATTTTTAAATGCTAGCCTGATTGAATTGACCTAGCATTTTTAAAACAATGGGATTATATTTAAGATCAAATGAAAGAAAGAAAAAAGATCAAATGAGACCCCTTTTATGCCTACTTCCAGTTACAGAAATAAGTAGAAATTTTCCTTGGTCATTAGAACATATAATTTAGGTGTATATTTATAGATAATTTTTTTTTTTAGATAATTTTTTTTTAAAATACAAGTTTTTAGTGTATGAATCATTTGATGTAGTCTTTGTAGCCTTTTAAGCTTACTTTGTCTCGTCTTGAGAAGGGACACGTTTGGAACGCTCGTGGCTCATCTAATTTTTTTTTCGTCCCAAGTGGGTGTCAGCAGATGAGACCTGCCAGATGAAATGGGGGTCTCTGGCCCAGAGTCTGCCAGCATTTGGGCGTGCCGGAATTTTAAAATACTGTAGGCCCCAAGGGCTACCACTCTTACAAGTGGTACAATAGAGGTTTGTCTGTTTTTGCTCTACTGAAATAAGATAGAGTTGCTGCAATGATGGACAACTGGGCCATAGGTGTGTCATACACCATAATTGGCTATCCACCATGAGCAGTGTTTTTTGGAGCTCCCAGATTGGTTCAGGTTTGGAAGCAGGTCTGGCATCCAGTTCCTAAACTCCATGCCTTTGAGAAGTCTATAAACTTGGAGAAATGATGATAGTTATAGAAAGGCTTCAGGCCTTTGTTAATCTTTGGTTTATATATTTATCCTCCCTTCATGTGTACTCAGTCTATATGGTGGAAAAATCATTAAAGAAGTTAGACTCTATGAAGAAACATGTGGCATCAGAATAGGAGGAGACTGAGGAAGCAGCAGAATGCTCCAAGATGGGCATTTTTGGGTGCTGAGAGCCAATGAGAATGCATGATTATGGAAGAATTTGAATGATGGAGCTCACGGAGTTTGAACCGTGCTTTGGTTCTTAAATTCAGTAGGGACTGAGGGCCTGGTTTTAATTGTTTTTGGTCAGACATTCTTCTAGGTGGTATAGCATTGGTCTGTCCCTTTGCTGTACAGAGGTAACTCGTGGTTGCCTTGATGCTGAACACTGTGACACTGATGTGTCAAATGTGATAATGGTTACCTATGGTGGAACAGTGTTTGGTGGAGTTCCCCTATAAAAACAAGCTTGGAAACAGGAGTGGCATCCACTTCTGAAATAACTTACCTCTGGAAACACTATGAACATGGAGAAACGATGAAAGTTATACAAGTGTTCAGGTCTTTTGTTCATAGAGTCTCTATGAGTTGCCTATGACTTGAGGACACTTAAAAATAACAGCAATAAAGTGGTTTTAAAAGGGAGAAATTGCATTCTATTGAGTTTGAAAGGGTATGTTTCTAAAACATTGTTGCACTACATTTTGTATCTTTTTAGTAAATCTAAAATTTAAAAATTGTAAATTGTGCCAAGAAATCTGGAGGACAACTACCTGGCCTACTGATTGGAAGAGATCTATGTTTGTCCCCATTCCAAAGATAGGTGATCCAACAGAGTGTGGAAATTATTGAACAATATCATTGATACCACATGCAAGCAAGATTCTGCTGAAGATCATCCAAAAGAACTGGTTGAAGTGCAGATTGGATTTAGAAGAGGCAGTGACACTAGGGATATTATAGCTTATATCAGATGGATCTTGGCTGAAAGCAGAGAGTACCAGAGGAATGTCTATCTGTGTTTCATTGACTATGCATAGACATTTGACTGTGTGGATCACAACAAACAGTGGCTTACTTTGAGAAGAACGAGAATCCCAGAAGACTTAATTGTGTTTATGCAAAACTTATACTTGGACTAGGAGGCAGTCATCAGAACAGAGCAAGGAAATACTGCAGGGTTCAAAATTGGGAAGGGTGTGCTTTCAGAATGTGTCCTATCTCCATATCTTTTCAATCTTTATGCAGAACAGATTATCCGGTAGGCTGGGCTGTATGAGAAGTGTGGCATCAGGATTGGAGGTAGACTCATCAACAATCTGCATTATGCAGATAGCACAACCGTGCTTGTTGAAACTGAGGAGAACCTGAAGCACTTACTGGAGAAGTTCAAGGATTGCAGCCTTCAGTATGGATTGAAGCTCAACATCAAGAAAACAAGGATTCCCACCACTGGGCTGTTGGCAGCATCATTATAAATAGTGAAGAGATTGAGATTGTTGACAGCTTTAGTTTGCTTGGCTCCACAATCAGCACTCTTGGTACCAGCAGCCAGGAAATTGGAAGACAAATTGCATTGGGAAAGTCAGAGACCTCTTCAAGGTACTAAGGAGCAACAATGTCATTCTGGAGAATAAGGTGCGCCTGATAAAGGCCATAGTCTTTGCAATTATTTGATATGCCTCAGAGAGCTGGACAATGACTAGGAATGATTGATAAGAATTGATGCCTTTGAGCTTTGGTGCTGGAGAAGAGTACTGAACCATGGACTGCTAGGAGAACAAACAGGTTTGTCCTGGAGAGGGTAAAATCAGGCTACTCCTTGGAGGCAAGAATTTTGAAGCTCTGTCTGACATAGTTTGGACATATTGCAAGGCGGGATCAGTCCTTGATGAGGGATGTCATGCTTCGGAGGGTGGAAGGACAGCTCAGGAGAGAAAAGACCCTCAATGAGATGGATTGATTCCATCACTGGGGTTATGGGGATAAGTGTGTCAGAGACAATAAGGTTGGTAAGAGATAGAGCAGGGTTTAGGGCTGTTGTACATAGGGTACAACAACTTGACGGTACATAACAACAACAACAACAAGAGTTATTTCAATTGATATTTTCGGGTATTTCTAATGTTTCTAAGATAATTTAAGTTTCATTATCAAAGTAGGCGATAATTTACATCATAGTCTATTAATGTAATCTTGCTCATTGCTGTCAACTGGGAACCAAATCATAGCTGAATCTTCATTTTTATTGAGAAATTTATTTCCATTTTCTTGAAATAGTAGGACCAAAGTAGGTAAGCGGTGCGAGAGAGTAGATTAAGTAGATTAAATGATAGATAACAGGTAATTATTGGAATGGGTGAATGGAAAAACAATGTGAAATGAATAGATGATCAGATTTGGGTGTATTGCAGGTGGTGGTGTTGAACAGAATGTACATGAATGATTGATAGGGAAAAAACTTGATATGGTTTGTAACCTTTGACTCATTGTAAAAAAAATATTACATATACTAAGAAAATAGTAGAAAACTTTCCTATCTTCTTGTAATAGTAGAACTAAAGTTGGTAAGAAGTTTTGTCATATGAAGGTTTTATTCATATATGAGTAGTTTATGACATATAAAGCAGTATAATATATGCCATATAACTGATTATTTAGAATGAAAATATTCTGTATCTTCAGATTATTTCCATTTATATTAAATAAAAAGCAAATC